CGCACACACACACACACACACACACACGCACACACACAAACACACACACATATGCACGCACACACGCACGCACACACACACACATATACATACATACATATATAGTAACACATTAGGGACTCATTTTCACTATTAACTAGTTGCTTATTAGCATGCATATTGCCTGTTTATTAGTTTATTAACACATAATGCCTTATTCTGCATTACAATATTTTAGATCTTTTACAACTATCCTCCTAACTATTAATAATCAGCAAATTGGGAATTTATTGAGGCACAAGTAATAGTTAATAGTTAGTCAATAGTGATTATTGGTCCCCAAACTAAAGTGTGACCATATATAGCCTACATCTTAGTGATCGCCCTGACATTGACGTCTCTTTTGTTTTTTTTTAGGTTATAATTTGACCAGACAAAATAATGGGGAGAAAAAACTTTAGAGAAGACAAAGCTGAGAAATGAAAACCAACATCGTTCTGAGCGAGAGAAGATGGTTGCTCACCTCCGATTTTCCGGAAACTAATTTTCAATCTACTAATCCTGCTCTCGCACAGTATGAGTCATCTAATACACGGAGCAGCGCAGCTCCAACTGCATTCTCTACAGGGCAAGAAGGGCAGCAGACCGCATTTAATTTTGAATTTCTTGCTGAAAAACTGCTGATGTATATTTCCACCTCCTTACCCCTGCTTTCACCTTCTCAGGTTTATGATTCATAATTCCTGTGATTTCAGGCTAGGTTTTTGCATGCTAAAAAAGGTACAAAGGTAATTATATTTATGTCAATAGCCCAAACAGTCACATTTACAAACAGTCATTAAAGTGTGAAAAGTAATTAAACACTAATTTGAGAGCATTTGCGGTGAGTGCTCTTGTTGTCAGATGTTCTGTTTTAGATCATCTCCTCTCTGTAATGTTGTGGACAGGACCATTCATAAGACAGCACCTCTCTAAGCTTGGGAACAGTTAATTGATTACCCATGCCACCTACCCCCTCTGAGCCCTCTCTGTAAAGATAAGTGTCGTCCCTGAAATCGAACCCTCTGCCTGCCATGCTTCTGTCTGATTAGCTGCCGGAACAATTATCTTAATCGTGTCATCTTAACGAACCCCCACGATAAGCCGCCTTGGGGCCAGTAATCCAAAAGTCCTTCGCCTACACGGAATACTGTCCCTTATCACCCTTCATAATAAAGATGAATTAAGTTGAGGAAAAGACAACATAAAGTTCCCATTGTGGGTGTTTACGCATGTTTGTTAGTGACAGTTGATGGTTTATCTAATCAAGATATTAGGAGTCAAATCATCATGACTGAGCAGCACTTAATGTGTGGAAAAACAATGTTAGAAAAAAACAAGTTGAGTAATGTTGAGTGAATAGCTAGCTTGCAGTGCACAAATAGAAACAATATTTTTACATGGTCAAAATAGCCCACCCTCAATTCTCTATTCTAGTCTCTGTATGTAACTGTTCAGAAGTTTAGGGTCAGTAAGATCTTCTCTCTTATGCTCAGCAAGACTGCATTTATTTGATCAAAAATACTGTAATATTGTGAAATATTATTACAATTTAAGATATCTGTTTACTATTTTAATATATTTTAAACAGAATTTATTCCTGTGATGCCAAAGCTGAATTTTCAGCATCATTACGCCAGTCTTCAGTGTCACACGATCCTTCAGAAATCTTTCTAATATTCTGATTTGCTGCAGTTTTTTTTTTAAATAAAATTGATTTGAAGTAGAAATGTTTTGTAACATTATAAATTTGTTTGCTTTCAATGTTTACTGTCTTTTTTGATAAATTCAAAATTTCAATTAACCAAAATAATCATGGTCTGAATGCTGAAGAAAAGTAATAGCACAGCTATCCTTAACAATGCCACATCATTTGAGGTTTCAAATAAGAAAGAGTTGTGTGCCAGTGTTCAATAATTAGGCCTGAAGCACAAAAATAAGTATCAGAAAGCAAGTGAAATTGTAAGCTCAATTTCAGAGTTTGCAATACGGCTGAAAGGGCCTCTATTACATGAATGTATAGAATTGTATTCTGTGGAGAGCTACAGTTAGAGAAGAACCTTGCTAAATAAGTTAATCTATTAGCTATTAGAGAATAGATAGCACATCTGGTTTAATGACACAAAGGGTTTGAAGGTTACTGTAACTCTATTACCTCCATGGAGGTTTGTTACCACCACATATATATGTTTCTGACCTTACGGTTGGGTTTGCCTAATCTTATACAACAAACAAATATTTACCAATATTAATGCAATGGAAAGGAGCTCATTAATACTGGTCTGAAGTGAATGTGAATCTTCAGGTCTGAAGTAGGCGAAAGCATAACAGTGGGGTGGAGGCGGCCCGCGTGGTGGGATTCAAAGCAGATGCCCTTTCCCCTGGAAGGCCCCTCCTCTTGTAGCCACACAGATCACAGGAGTTCCCTCTCAGGCCCCGTCAGACCCCTCACGCTCTAACATTTACACTAAATTACCAAGCTTCAAAGTGCACTGTATGTACCCAGACTGAAGTGATTAAGTCATAGACCCTGAAAAAACACGAGGATTTAATTTCACTGTGGAATTTTGCTTACATTGTTATTAATGGATGTGATTTGTTCGGTAAGCTGATCTAAATCTAATTTAGACTTTAATAGGGTCTTTTCCAATAACTGCATAATTGCGGCAACTCCAAATAAATGATACAATCAGCAAACGTCAAATTGTATTTACATTTCTGCCCTTATTACCTTAGCTATATTAATTTTGTTGGGTTTTCTCCATATTGTGATTCTTTGTTCTTGAGCAGACATGTTTCCACTGCAACGCTGATGCATGGACATGCGCGTACAACTTATTATTTTTTTTTCCCTGAAGAACAAATTAAACTTTCACTAAGGTACAGGCATTCCTTCATCTGCAATTATTGTACCTATTTTCAACCTTTATGAATAGGGTGGACCATGACATTTCAGTTACAGACGACTTACTCATGTAAGTGCAGTGGGTGTGTTTTTCTACAAGAAGTGACTCAGCTTCAAGCAAACTTAAGTTACAAGTCTTGATCAAACTTTTTCTTTGGAACTTTTTGACAGTATAATAATCCTGCTTGCTTTTCAGGTGAAATACAAGATACTTTTAATATAAGTGAATCATAATTGTAAAAATTAAAGCAAATTTATCACATTTACCATTGTATATCCCTTTGGTCACATGAAAGTAAATTTGGGTGGTTTTATTTGAGAATGCAGCATCATCTAGTGGGACATAACAGAATTACATAACCACATCATTAGCTCAAATACATATAACTTACGTTTTACATGATCGAAAAGCCTCCTCTGATGGTATCTGATATACAAATACCCACTCTCTATAAAATCTCTATGCAATAATTTTCCTTAAATGCAAAAGACTGATTTGGACGGTCCATCTAAACAGCGCCGTCATCGTCAGCACCGACGTGAACAATAAATGACACCTGAATACAAACTCTTCACGTTAATTGTGAATTTTTTTTAGTAACGCCCGCTTTGATATTGTGTTCTCTTAATGCTCTCTTTAACTACTACTCTTTCTCTTGCTATTCTTAAAAGCATTGATAGTTCTAATTTTGTTGTACAATAGCCTGCTGTTAACTGAAAGCTCAAATAAAGCATAAAAAAAGAAAAAATACACCTGAATCATGACGCTGACGAAATGAGTTATAGGCTACAAACAAACAAACAAACAAACAAAGTAACGTTATATACGGTCTTTCTATTTGTTTGGGATGTGTGGTTCAGTGTGCTAAATACGACCAGCAGGTGTCGCACAGCATGAACAAATAAAAACTAGACCGTTAAACGGGTTTGAAGAAAATTTAATTCGCAGAATGTAAATTGCTGCATTTATTTGTGCTACCAGTAAAGCTGTACATCTTATGTTGACAGTATTGAACCTCCTCAAATTAAGTAATATTGAAGAACCTTCTCCTTTTCCAAATGTGAGCATTCGGAGCATCCAGCTTTATATGGATAGGACATACAAATGTCTGTAAACGATGAAAAAGGTGGACTTAAATGGGAACACTACCGAAATACATCTGACCTCACCACAATGGCATGAACTTCCAAACACAATCAGCTCTTCCTCATCAGAGGTTGAAAGGCTTTTCCAGGAGATCAGCTGATCGTAAATGGATAGTTTCAGTTCAGACTCGAGAAATATAACGTTACATGTAATAAAAAAAAAGCTTATAGTACGACTTTTACTGCTATAATAATAATAATTATTATTATTATTATTATACGACTGGTGTTTTTTTGGTGATTAATAATATTAATACATGGGTGAATATGTTTTATTTGTGTTATTATTTTTAAGGACTTTTACTTTGAAATATACACTTCCGCTGGGCGTCTTAGATCACCGTTAACATCACTGGCTTCACGCTGCTCAGTCCTGAAATAAAGCGGCTGCTTATCACGACCGTAACGTCCATGCTGGAGTCCTTAAATCATTCCAATCTTCATGTTCCTGGATTCGCTAATTCTGTAGAAGACGGGTGTCTTGTCTCCGTCATATTGGAAATTAATCTTGAAGATTTACAGAGCTGGATGGGAATGTAGAGCAGCACCATTGTTTTAATCAGCTCGTGAAGTTGGACCCAGCCTAAAAAGAAATCAAAATTCAACAAACTCGCATCAGATGCGGTGGGATCTCCAACCATTTCAACAATTCGAGATCAGATTTCGGAAATAACTGCCACATTAGGATTTTTGAATCTTATGTTTTTTTTTCTCAGTCGTTGACATTTACATTTATGGTCTTTCTGTCTAAAACCGGGTTGTGTGCATGTAAAAGTGCTGCATTGACAGATCAGCATTTGATAGCCTAATATTAGTCTAATAATCCTGTGCATTGCTAACATTGTCTTATTTGTTTGATATATTTTTGGATGAACACTATACAGATTTGCCTGTATTGCACTTTACCCAGATAGATACGATGAAATCACCATTTAAATAGGTCTGCAGTGTTTCCCTGGATTAAAACACCTGCAGGGATATATTATCTATTTGTTTTTAAATGCAAAACCTCCTTTAAGCAAAATGTGGTTGTTAGACTGTCACAGCCAGGCATGAATTATTTAAACCCTGCTTATTAGTTATTCAGTTTCCTGCTGGACAAAAGCCTTGACATTTGCAGTTTGACCCAGTGTGAGTGTGACAGGAATCCAGGAGGGAGCTGGCTTTGCTTTCGACTCTTGTTTTTGATCCAACGAAATCTCCAGCGGTCAAGACATTCCACTAAACTTTTCTTTTACATTATTAAAAGCGACAATGTCTTAACTGGGCCGTTCAAAACGGAGAAAATCAACCCAGTGAGGACGATGCTGGCCATTTTTGGACACGACACGCTTCACATATCACAAATGATTCGGGACTCCTGTGACGGGCATATCTAGATGAGTTTTATTTGATGAACTCGAGGCTGTCAGGAAGCATTTCGGTCGTTTTATAACACGTCTTCTCGTGGATATATCGACATACATAATGGGCGACGCTAATTTGAACGACTCCAACGTGAAGGTGGCGCTTCGGGTCCGGCCCATGAACCGGAGAGGTGAGTCGAGTTTCAGTTCTGTCACTTGATATCACAGGTCACAAGCAGGCTGTATTTCAAGACCCAGTGTAGTACTTACCAGGACGTTTGAATCGTCCCCGTGATCCTCAAAAAGCTGTCTATCTAGTCAGCACACTATGTTTTGTGACACGGCCTTTTAATCTTGTGATCAGTAGAGTTTGAAGAAACAAACTGGAGTTTGAGAAAGTTCTGAGGAAAGTCCTGACCAGGCCATGCTGGATTATCTATATGTATATGCCAGTAATGATGTGTGTTGGGTCACGTGACCCAAATGTGGGAAATGTGACTCTATCTATCTATCTATCTATCTATCTAGAATTAGAAAGTGCTTTATTGCCAAGTAATTTTACACACACAAGGAAATCTTGTCTTGGTGAAAATCTATCTATCTATCTATCTATCTATCTATCTAAACTTTATTATAGGTCAGATGGCATGTAAACTTTTTTATTTTACATCAGGATATTCAGTTAAGTTAATATAGTGTATATAAT